TCAGGAGGCTGAGATCTGAGGATCGAGGTTCAAAGCCAGCCCGGGCAGGAGAGACCGTGAGACTCTTATCTCCAATAAACCACCAGAAAACCGGAAGTGGCACTGTAGCTCAAGTGGTAGAGCGCTCGCCTTGAACTGAAGAGCTGAGGGACAGCGCCCAGGCCCAGAGTTCAAGCCCCACGGCCAACCAAAAAAAAAAAAAAAAAGAAAGGAAAACATATTTTCAAGGTTCATCCACAATGCAGTGTGTAGTAAAAAAAAAAAAAGTTGCTTTTATGGCTGAACAATGCTTCTTTCTATGCAGAGACCACGCCCTGTCCATTTGTCAGTTGAGGGAATCAGATTCTTTCAGCGTGTCCCAAGTTTTCATCCGCAGTGCTGTGATGGGCACATACAAGTGTCCGTTTGAACAAAATTCAATTCTTGTAGATACATGCCCAGAATTAGATGTGCTGGATCATTCTCGTTAAATCAATAAACTACCTCTCTTTTCCACAGTGGCTGCACCATTTTTGCACTTTCACCAGCTGTAGTTTTTGTTGTTGTTTTTGTTTAATAATAACCCAGAGGACATGTAGGTCTTGGTTGCTAAAAAAAAACCCCACAATCTCTTGCTTGATAGCAAGATCCCAGTGAGAATCTGGGTTGTCTTAGCTGGGGGAGGGGGAACAGCTTTTATGAGGAGCGGCGGACCCAGCTGTCATCTCCCTAGAGTTAAAGTACTTGTGAGGCAGGCAGACCATACAGGGTCTGTGGTTATCAGGGCCACTTGCAAGCCTAGCCCATAGATCTACCCATCCATCCACCCTAAGACACTTCCAAAAGACTATTGCAATCTCCAGATGGTTCTGATAATATCCCTGCTGCCAGCCTTCCAGGCACCATGATCTTGATAATCAGGATGGATTTTTTTTCTTTAAGTATTACAAAATCACCAGTCTATTACCCTAAGTTGAACCTAAGTATTTAAGAACAAAAATAAACAACAGATGTGAGATTCAAAATTGCAAAAAAAGAAAGATACAATAATAATAGGAAGATGAGTGGAAGCACAATTAAATAGTAAAATACAGAAATGAGGATAAATATATATTGTACATATAGACCTCTATTTCCTTAACATCCCAGAAATGAACATCAAAATAAGCATTTGCCACAGAGGAAAAATGGAAAAGATAGGGACAATTTTTTAAAGTATCTTTAGTTGTACAAAGGTGTTTCCATTTAACAAAGCATTTTATGAATATAATACATCTTAATCAATTTTCACCCCCCTTTTGGACATTCTCACCCATCTCCCTTACCCACCTCTTACTTCACTTTTTTGTTGCTGCTGTTTTTGTTTTTTGGTTGTTTTTTTTTTCCGGTTGTGGGGCTTGAACTCTGGGCCTGGGTACTGTCCCTCAGCTCTTCAGCTCAAGGCGAGCACTCTATCACTTGAGCCACAGCTCCACTTTTGGTTTTCTGATGGTTTACTGGAGATAAGAGTCTCACAAACTTTCTTGCCAGGGCTGGCTTTGAACTGTGATCCTCAACTCTCAGCTTCCTGAGTAGCAAGGATTACAGGCATGAGCTACCAGCACCTGACACTTACTGTTTTTTAATGCTAGTACTGGGCCTTGAACTCTGGGCCTAGGCACTGTCCTTGAGCTTTTTTGCTCAAGGCTAGCACTCTATCACTTCAACTCACAACTCCACTTTCCTCTCACTCTTGTTAATGTTGTAGGATATGCATTGGCCTCTTGAACGAATTCTCCTCCTCTTCTCCTCTTCATTAACCAGGATGTTTATCCAGACAAGCAGAGCCCTCTGCTGGGGCACATGTGAAGGGGATGAGGATGAAGCCCTGGCAAAGGCCTTTCAGCCACACTAAGCCCAGGATCCCAATTCAAGATGCCTTCGCATCCATGTGACCTTAAGCCCCACCCGTCAATCAACCTGTCCATCAGAGTTCATTCCAAACCAAAGATCACCACCCTACCCATCCCCAGGCCCACCTAACCACCCCTAAATTCCCTCTGGGGGAATTTTACCATCAGAGCTGTAGTGCTCTTGCTCAACCTGTTCCTGTACTTTCTCTTGAAGCTTACTCTTACTTTAATAAACCCATTTCCCCAATGCTTGTCTGTGCTCTGCTCAGTTCTGTTTTGGGTTGCAAAGGACCTGGAACCAATACCCAGACAGAAGACTGGCATCCCTGAGACCCTTACCTGGTAAAGGCTTGGACTCAGGGAGGGGAGGGTGCCTAGTGGGGACACTGCCATGTGCTAAGAGCTGCCCAGGCTTAGTCTTCTCCCCTTCTTCAGTGACAGCCCACCCAAGGAGCAGCTGGCAGACTCCTCTCCTTGGCCCTGCCCACTTCTCTCCTCCCACCAGCTGGTAGCAAATCACCAGTCAGTCGTATTTGGTTCATGTTCAGGTCCTGGCACTGTCCTGAGCTCTTATGCTCAAGGTTATCGCTCTACGACTTTGAGCCATAGCTCCACTTCCAGTTTCCTGGAGGTTAATTGGAGATGAGTGTCATAGACTTTCCTGTCTGCACTGGCTTTGAACCATGTTCCTCAGATCTCAGCTTCTTGAGTAGCTAGGATTACAGGTGTGAGCCATCAGCACCTGGCCCTCACATGTTTCTGACAATTCACTTATTGTAATTACTGTTGGTCATCTCATTCAATGTTACATTAATAGATAATTCAGAAGCATACAAACAAGAAGAAATATTTCTTATGAAAATTCAATTGAATACTTTAATAGACACTATAAGTAAGTTATGAAAAATAGATGTCAAAATATTAAGAAAAATAGATGTCAAATTAAATGTTGGCACAATCAAAAAAAAAAAAAAAAAAGAACCTCGGGGAAGGGAGGGAGGGAGGGGATGGTAGGGGGAAAACAATGGAGGGGGTAACAATGTTCAAGAGGAAGTGTACTCATTACCTCACTCATGTAACTGTAACCCTCTGTATAGTATCTTTACACAAAAAAAAAAGGACAAAAAAAAATTAAATGTTGGTAAGACAGACAAATAATTAAACAAAGGGGGGCTTTTGAAATCCACATGGGATCTACTTGCTAGCTGCTTTGGAAAGTCCTTTAAACTCACACTCCACTTCAGAGTCCAGGACTGGGCCTTAACTAATTTTTTTTTCCAGAAGTAGGGATGGAGTTAAAGCCTGAACACCATGAACAAGAAGCAAGTGGGAGGCTGGGAAGGTGGCTCAGTGGTAGAGTGCTTGCCTTGCATGCATGAGGCCCTGGGTTTGATTGATCAGCACCACATAAGCAGTAAAAGCTGGAAGTGGGGCTGTGGCTCAAGTGGTAGAGCACTAGCCTTAAGCTGAAGAGCTGAGGGACAGTGCCCAGGCCCAGAATTCAGGTCCCATGATAAAAAAAAAAAAGCAAGTGGTATGCATGGGCCATGCCCTAAGGGAAGATCTTGAGGCAGAGAGTGGATCAGCCAGGCTAGAGGCCTTAAGCTGAAAGGAGACTGAGCTTGGGAGTGGAGGTGGAGGTCCAGAGTGGAGCAGAAAAACCCACTCTGAGATTCTCTACAGAGCCTATGCTGCTATGAGCCTTGGCAATCTGGCTAAGGCCTCATCTCCACCCCTCCACCCCTCCCTCCCCCCCCCCCCCCAGGGAGTGGGCCCTGTCCTGCAAGTCCTTAGCACATGAGAACTGAGCACGGCATGCTGGTGTCTGGGGCAGAGCAACCTAGAGCATGAGCTCCAGACCCCACATCCCTCTCTTCTGGCTCCAGCACACCAATAGATTTCCTGCACACACCACTTTTCAACCCCACCCCATGGCAGGTGGAGAAGGCTGGGACAGGACATGCTGGGTGACCTGCGAGAGCACATGGGTACCAGAGCTGGGGTGGAAACAGGCCAAGCCAGGGCCTGAGGATCCTGACCTCAGACCCAGAGTTTATGGTTATCCGACTTCTCTCTCTCCACCTGGAAGTCCGGCCCACCCCTCGCAGAGAAGAGGCAGAGAAAGAGGCACAGAAGGCAGCTCAAAATGTAAGACATGGAGGCCCAGTGACTTGAGCCTGAGAGCCCCTAGTCTTAGCTGAATCCACTTGAGTTGCTCTGAACATCCATTTTATTCATTTGTGAAATTGAGTGTGTTGGGGTAAGGTTCAGCTGCTATAACAAAGAGGCCCACAAGATGTTTATAGAAGACTATGTACCTCTCTTTGCCACAGATCATGAGCACCCCAAGCAAGTACTCCGTGCAGGAATCCAGGGACTTGCTCCTTTCACTTTTTTCCCCCATTTTGTAGGCGATTGTCCATCTCTTCATGGGCTGTCTCTCGGGTGTGAGAAAGAAGAGAGGGTGGCTAGAGATCTCCGCAGTCTTTTCTTGATTCCTCCTGGCAGGAACTTTGTGGTGTAACAGTTCCTAACTGCACAGGATGAATCTTTATCATGTCATGAGAATTTCTGTCATGTTCCTGAAGGACAGCTTGCAGCCACGGACTGGGTGGATGTTAGGAATAAAATACCTGACACCTCGAAGATGCTCAGCAAAAAGTATTCGACATTGAACAAAAGATGTAGGAGCTCACAAGCCCACAGGTCCAATGCCCCCCCCCTTTTTTTTAGGCAACTAAAGTAGAAGGCCTAGAGAAGAAAGATAACTTGCCTATTCACCCAGAGACAACACTGGTCCTGAATCCTGTCTGGAATCCTCAACCCTAGCTTTGCAGCAATCATGGCAAGTTACCTGTTCTAGCTCTAGCAGGGCCTGGGCACAATGGGGCCAGGGGTCAGGGTTGGGGAACCACAATGGTGAGGAAGACCACAGACTCTACAACAGTGTTGTGGGCTGGAGGTAACACAGCTTTATGACTAGATAGGTGTGGCCCTGGTTTCCAGGGACAGATGGCCAAGCTGGTCTGTGACAAAAGGCCACACCCACCCACCTCCCATCCCCTGGCAGGAGAACTGGGCTGGGGTCAGCTAAACACCTGGGGACGGCACAGAAGGTCGCTGAGGAGGATGGCGCACCAGGGTGTCCTCCTCCCCGTGGACTTGCTCCTCCACCTCCTCCTCCTCAGCATGATGGTCCGGGGGGAGTACGGGGTGGTCCACGTGGTCTCCGGGAACTGGACCAAGGACTACTGCATCCTCTTCAGCCCCGACTATGTCACTCTCCCCCGGGACCTACACCATGCCCCACTCTTGCCCCTGCACGATGGCACTAAGGTATCCTGGTGCCCAGGTGAGAGCTCCTTCCATCAGGCCCAGTCCAGCTCCCCAAGACAGCGGCCTCTCTACCAGACCACCGCCATGGTAATGAGGGGCAACTGCAGCTTCTATGCCAAGGGCTGGCTGGCGCAGGACCGGGGTGCCCACGGACTGCTCATCGTGAGCCGCGTTAGCACCCAGCAATGCTCAGATGCCGTGCGGGTGAGCCGGGACTCCCGTAAGCTCCTGCCGGACCTCACCATCCCCGTGGCTGTGCTCCACTACACCGACATGCTCGACATCCTCAGCCACACCCGCGGCCACACCAACGTCCGCGTGGCCATCTATGCTCCCCCAGAGCCCATCATCGATTACAACATGGTGCTCATTTTTGTCCTGGCTGTGGGCACCGTGGCCTTGGGCGGCTATTGGGCTGGCTTGATGGAGGCTGACCGGTTACAGCGACGCCGTGCCCGAGGAGGAGGGGGGCCTGGAGGTCACCATCAGCTGCCGGTATCAGCAGCCGAGAGGGGCCAGGAGGATGAAGATGATGACGATGGGCCTGTGGATTTCACACCAGCCATGACAGGTGCTGTGGTTGCCATGTCCTGCTCAATCATGATATTGCTCTATTTCTTCTATGACTGCTTCATCTATATCATGATCGGGATCTTTGGCTTGGGGGCCAGCACCGGCCTCTACAGCTGCCTGGCACCCCTTGCGCGCCACCTGCCCCTACAGCAGTATCAGTGGCTTCTGCCTGGCCGTCGAACTTACCTGAAACTTCCAATGCTGTTACTGGCGGTCCTGTGCACCCTGGTGACCCTCTTCTGGGTGGTCTACCGAAACGAGGACCGCTGGGCCTGGCTCCTGCAGGATACACTGGGCGTGGCCTACTGCCTTTTTGTCCTACGTCGTGTGCGGCTGCCCACACTCAAAAACTGTGCCTCCTTCTTACTGGCCCTGCTGGCCTTCGATGTCTTCTTTGTCTTTGTCACCCCTCTGTTCACCAAGACCGGAGAGAGCATCATGGTGGAGGTAGCAGCAGGCCCGTTAGACTCTTCCAGCCACGAGAGACTGCCCATGGTCCTCAAAGTGCCGCGAATGTGCTTCTCAGCCTTGACCCTGTGCGACCAGCCCTTCTCCATCCTGGGCTTTGGTGACATTGTGGTCCCAGGCTTTCTAGTTGCTTACTGTCACCGCTTTGATGTTCAAGTCCGCTCCCACCAGGTGTACTTCATGGCCTGTACTGTGGCCTACGCTGTGGGTCTGCTGGTCACCTTTGTTGCCATGATTCTCATGGAGATGGGCCAGCCTGCCTTACTCTACTTAGTGTCCAGCACCCTGCTCACCAGCCTGACGGTGGCTGCCTGGCGCCAAGAGCTCACTCTCTTCTGGACTGGCAAAGGCAGAGTCAGGACAACTGCCCGACCCGTGGCAGGGTTCTATGGTGTTCTTGCAACCAACTCCATACAAAAGCAGGAAGGCCCAGAAGCAGACGCTAGCCCCTGCAAGTGTGAGATGGTCATGGAGCAAGAGGAAGAGGACTCAGAAAGCAACGTTGAGGAAGACACAACTGATATGGTCACCATATCAGATGACGAAGCCACCAACCCAGAGGGCCACAGTGAGAGCTCTGAGGGCTGGAGCGATGCCAACCTGGACCCGGAGGAGCTGCCCCCTCCCTCCTCAGAGACCTCAGAGGAGTTGATGCCACTGATGCCAATGGCCATGTTGATCCCGCTGATCCCGCTCATGCCCCCGCCCTCAGAGCTGGGCCCTATCCACGCCCAGGCCCAGGCCCACGATGCCAGCCAGTCCTGGGCAGGTCTTCACAAGAGGAAGGGTGTGAAGGTAAAGAAGAGTATGTCTACACAGGCTCCTCTGTGAACTGGAGCCTCTGGGGTCCTATGCCTCTCACCAGTTGGCAGAACACTGCAGAGCCAAGCCACCCATGGCAAGAACAGATCGGGGCATTAGAGAAATTCCATGTCTACCCGAGGAGCTTCTTTGCTTGTTAGGGCTGTAAGAGGGCAGTGACCTGTGCAAGGCTAGAGGGTCCTTGGGAGTTGGGACAATTCTTATGTGGTTTGGAGAGGAAACTGAGGCTAGAAAGGGCACATGGCTTGCACAAGTTCACTCAGGAAGGACTCACCGGGCAGCTACTTTTCCTTTCCTTAACTGCCTGAGCCCCAGTTCCTTAGCTTGGTAGCTCAGCTGTCATCTTATCCCTCCTAGCCCCAGCCTCACTGCCCAAGCTCTGCCAGCTCTCGGACCAACAGGATCATTGTTATTCTTGGATTCCCCTTACATCCTCACCCTTTGTCTTAGCACACACTATTTCCTCTGGCTGAGATTCCCTTCCTACCCCCAGACAGAAATCCGCCAACTCAGATTTCCTGCCTCACTAGAAAATTCCTAGCATCCTTCAAGTCTCTGCTGGGCACATCCACCCCAAGCCCAGACAGCAGTTCTAAACCCAGTACATTCCGACACTCAGCTACCCATTCCATCCACAGCTAGTAAATAAGGCCCTGCTGTGTGCCTGTCCTTGTGGTGGGCACAGAGCAGGGGAGCGGGGAGAGGGTGCTGCTGATCGAGAGGAAAAGTGGAGGCAGCGCAGACAAGAATCAACCTGAGAATGGTCTTAAAGTGTGGGCAAGAGGGGTAGAGAGGCTACTGAGAACACACAGACCAGGACTCGAGTTCCCGCCAGGTCTCACTAACTCTGGGTAATAGATGGGTATCTTTGGGCTTAGATGTTGCTTGATGAGAGCAAAGGGATGAGCGTCTTCCCAAAGGAGAGGTTCTGTGAGAGGAGCAGAGCCATAACCCCAAGAGGTAGCATTGCACTATGGGTAGGATCCTAGAGCTGAGGGGCCCACGTGAAATTCTGCCTCAATCACTGACTTGGAGTTTATCTTTGAGTGAGTGACTTCATATCTCAGTGCTTAGTCTGCTGATCTGTAAAGTGGGGGTAACCATAGGGCCAACCTACCATGGGGTTGCTGGTCAATCTGAGTGAGGTGGCCGTCAGGAGCTTGGCACAAAGGCCTGCAGGGACAAATTGCTTCATGAGGCTAACTGAGGTAGTTGTCCTTCCCAAAATGCAAGCCTCACTTGCAGAATCAAATCCAACTCCTGCAAGGGCTGGAGAGGAAGGGTCGGTTCCTCCTGAAGCTTCCCCTCCCTTCCCATGCCACCTCCTAGCAACAGACCCACCATGCCCCTGACTCCTCATCCTCTTGTGCTTCTCCTCCACCTGGAATGTTTTTCTACTTCCTGACCCTGCCATTCACCCCCAGAAGTTGACCTCGCTAGCTCCTCCCCTTTCTGGTCCCTGCTCAGATATTTCCTTCTCAGGGAGTCTTTCCTTGTCATCCTTTCTGAAGATGCTGGCCTTAGTCATACCACTGCTCCTTGGTTTTCTTGTTCTCCCCAGTAGAGTTCAGCTTCATGAAAAGCAGAGGTCTCATGCATCCTGCTCACTTGCGTGGTTTCAGGACCAAGGATAGAGTCTGACACATAATAGGTACTTGACTTGTTGGAAGAGTAAGCAAATGAATGTATGAATGAAGGAACAAACAGATGAGTGAATGAAGAAATGAATGAATGATGAATGAATCAATGAATGAGCAAATGAAATGCTGATCCCATTTGAATGGTAGAGGAAAGTGGACACTATTCAGGCTACCTCACCAGGGTCCTAGAGGGCCCTGGTTAGTGGAAAGGTTAGATTTAGGGAGCCTATGATGGAGGAGAGTATAAGCCCTAAGATGGAGATGAGGGGCAGGTAAGGCAAGGGTACAGGGGATAAGCACTTTAAAGCCCCACTTGTAGGGGAGACGCACAGCCCTTCAACAACCACAGAGCCAGGCGGGATAAGGACAGAGGGATGCGCTCAGGCCAGGACACTGACTGGAGGTGTTGGCAGCCCCTCCCACTGCGGCCAGAGGCCATCTGGCCTGGACAGAGGGGCCGCCACAGGCCCTGGCCCAGCCCCAGCCCAGGCAGCCTCCTGCTGCTGCCCTGCGTCACTGGGCCTGCAGGATAGGCTACACCCCTGCTAGGCCCAAGGGGAAGGGCTGGACAGACCCCAGGCTTTTTGCCCTTTGGGCCCCAGAGTGAGGGTTGGGACAGGCCAGGAGTGCTGGCTTCCAGGCAGGGTGGCTGTGAGGACACCCACCAGAGGTGTATCCAGACAGGGCTGGGAAGGGAGTCACCTCCTCCTCATCCCCTGGGGGCTTGATGGCAGGTAAGGCTGAGGGGGCTAGAGATGCAGCTGCCCCCTCCCCCACAGCTTGGTAATTGGTTAGATCAGAGTGCCCATGGGGATCCTGGAATCGATGACTGAGATGGTTCATGGGCATTGGAGGGAACCCATGACCCCTCACCCCAGCACAGCCCAAGCTCTGCTCCTCACCAAGAAATCATCACCTGAGGTTCAATCTGCTCTGGTCCCTGGCCTCTAACAGGCCAATTTGAGAAGCATCTAGGAAGACAGCCCCAGCTTCCAGAGGCTCACTGGAGGGTTTAGCTAATTCAAATGGGAGGGGGCATTGTATCCTCCCTCACATAGGTCCCCCCTCCAAGCCTGCGCTCCTGTGTCTCCTTTTAGTGTGTGTGCAGGTGCTGGGGCTTGAATTCAGAGCCTGGGCGCTATCCCTGAGCCTTTGTGCTCAAGGCTAGCTACCTACCATTTGAGCCATAGCACCACTTCCAGCGTTTTCTGAGTAGTTTATTGGAGATAAGAGTCTCATAGACTTTTCTGCTTGGGCTGGTTTTGAACTGAAATCCTTAGATCTCAGCCTCCTGAGTAGCTAGGATTACAGGCGTGAGCCATTGGTGGCTGGCACGAACCTCCTTTTTTATTTTTTATTTTTTTTTTGTCCTGGGCTTTCTCTCAGGACCCAGGCACTGTCCTTGAGCCTCTCTGTGTTCAAGGCTACTGCTCTACCACTTGAGCCACTGTGCCACTTCTGTTTTTCTGTTTATGTGGTACTGAGGAATCAAACCCAGGGCTTCATGCATGCTATGTAAGCACTCTACCACTAAGCCACATTCCCAGCCCACACCTCCTTATAACTCTCCTGAGCCCACTTACAAGGCACAGGGACAACAGCCCTTTGAATGTGAACTCAAAAAGCTAGATACCCACAACCTGTACCCTACCATGTCCTCTGCCTATCCAGAAAGGGGAGAAGGTCAGGCTTTTCTCTATTGCCAGGCAGCTGGCAGCAATGCTGCTTGTCACACACATGAGGCTGGGCAAGCACTCTGAGAATGGACGGCGGGATGTGTAGACACAAGTACATGCAGGTTCATAGGCACCTACTAAAAATGCAGATCCTTGGGCTCCGGGTTCTGATTGGTTGGGCTTAGGAAGGACTAGACAGCTGTGCATTTGAGGAGCTCCCACCCCCACCCCAGGCTGAGCACCACCAGAAGACAGCCATCACCCCTCTTCTGGACCAGAGGACAAGGAAGAGAGAGACCAGGACTCAATGAGCAAAGCCCAGAGCAGACCCCACCTCCCACCCTGTCACCCACATCCTGCTTGGATCCAAGGTTTCCTTCCCCCACCCCTAGGCTTACACAACTAAAGATATGTCCTCCATCATACTCCTTTGGCCAAAATCTGGGGCAGGAGGAAATGAGCCAACTTCACTAGCCCTCCAACCAGCTCCACCCTCCCCCTTTGCCCTAGAATGTTCTGACCTGGAGGCAGAGGTTATTTCCTTCGTCATGCACTGGGCCTATTGCAGATGCTAAATAAAACATCTGTCAGATAAATCTGCAGGCAAAATGAAAAGTCCCTCTTACTAGTTATGTGCCCTTGGTACACAAATATCCTTGCTCATGCAAAGGGCATCATGGGAGCACTGACTATCCCAGGGTTGTGTTCAATATTAAACTATCCAAGGAAAGAATTGAGCCCCATGGCTGGTGCAGACAGATGTATGTGTAGCTGTACACCTGTACACAGACACGCAGCATACCACACACATAGACGCACATGTCCCAAATACAAACCCACATGAGCACGTGCCACATCTGCACCCATACCTAACATTGGCACATGTCCATGTGTACACTTCTCAGGCACACATGTACGCACACAGGGACTCTGACCTGTTTCCCTTTAGATCTAGTCCTTCCCCACAGGCCTTTCCTGGGCTCTCAGAAATGAGGGAGGTGGAGGGGGAATACCAGTCCCTGAGGGCTGGTGGTCTGTCTCTACCTCTAGGCCTGCTCCTTTCCTAGTCAGGCAGACAGAAGTATTTCGATCCTCTTTCAAGAGAGATTTCTGGCCAGGCATTGGTGGCTCAGGCCTATAATCCTACCTATTCAGAAAGCTGAAGCCTGAGGATCTCAGTTCAAAGCCAGGCCCTGTAGGAAAATTCTTGAGATTTTTGTCACCAATTAACCACCAAAAAAAAAAAAAAAAAAGCCAGAAGTGGAGCTGTGGCTCAACTGGTAGAATGGCAGTCTTGAGAGGAAAAAAAAAAAGTTCAGGGACAGTGCCCAGGCCCTGAGTTCAAGCCCCAGGACCAGCATGCACGCACATAAAATTCTATCAGTTCTGTGAGCTACTCAAGGCCAGACCTAGGGCTCCAGGTAGCTCATCCACCACTAGGACTGCATTCTTCTGTTTTTATTTTTCAGGGGCCTCATTTAAACCCAGCAAGACCTCCATAGGTGTCAGTCTTGTTTCTTTCTTTCTTTTTTTAATGCAAGTGTTTGATGTCAGAGCTTCTGGATTGAATTATTGAAAAGCAGCCATCACCTATGGGATGCTCTAAGCCAAAGGTGAAGAAAGAAAGAAGGGGAAGGTCCACCCAGAGCCATACAGTGGCCAGACCACAGAAACAGAATGCAGCTCTGGTCTC